TTAGAGGATGTCTTGAGGTTTGACCTCTCGTGTTTGTCTGCTGCAGGAGCTGAGTCTGAAAGGTTTCAGGTTTGAAACCTGGGTGAAGCTGCTGTGGTGGACTCACCTCACCTGGCCTGGTGTGGGTGGGGCCGTGAGTTCTGCAGCTTCCTGCTCTGGGTTTCTGTAGGCGAGAGTCTGGAACAGCAGACGGAAAAAGGTTTTTATGAAGCGGATCTGTGCAAACGGGCCGAGCAGCTGTGCTGACGGGACGAAGAGCTCGTCTGAGTGGAGAAGCTAACATCCAGATGTTGCTTCAGCAACTGCACCGCTACCACCGTCAGCTTCTTTTACTGATGCCTGAAACAAAAAACTTTCAAGAGTTTTACATTTCATCCAGCTGACAGGAAGTCAACAAGAAGCACGAATCAAACGTCTCTTCATGGCTTTACTCTCTGAAAGAGGAGCTCTTCTGAAAACAAACCTTTAAACCTCAAAGAAATTTAAATAAAACTCAAACTGAAACGATACCAACAGCGAGTCCTGATCCAGGTCTGACCCGGTTCAGTCAGATGGATTAAAAGAAAAAAGAAGAACTGGTCCAGAGGAGTTTTATTTTTTTTTAATTCTTCACTAAAATCTCAGTTTCTCTTGAACTCACCTCTGCAGATGTTTCAGTCACAGCTGGACTGTGAGGCGGCACCGTCTGATCCGATTTCAACCGGCTGAGTTTAAAAACTGTCTGGAGGTGGATACAGTCTGTTGTACTCATCAGCTCGTTCAGCTGTTTCCAGCCTCTCTTTTGGCTGATTGCTGCTGTTCAGCTGTTTGTTTCTGGTCTTGTTGTCGGCTGCTGTTCAGCTGTTTGTTTCTGGTATTGTAGTCGGCTGCTGTTCAGCTGTTTGTTTCTGGCCTCTCTGTCGGCTGTTGTTCAGCTGTTTGCTTCCAGCTCTCTGTCGGCTGATTGCTCTGTTCAGCTGTTTGTTTCTGGCCTCTCTGTCAGCTGCTGTTCAGCTGCTTGTTTCCGGCCTCTCTGTTGGCTGCTTGCTGCTGTTCAGCTGCTAGTTTCTGGTCTTGTGGTCGGCTGTTGTTCAGCTGTTTGTTTCCGGCCTCTCTGTCAGCTGTTGTTCAGCTGTTTGTTTCCGGCCTCTCTGTCGGCTCTTGTTCAGCTGTTTGCTTCCAGCTCTCTGTCGGCTGATTGCTCTGTTCAGCTGTTTGTTTCCACCCTTTCTTTTGGCTGCTATCCAGCTGTTTGTTTCTGGCCTCTCTGTCGGCTGCTTGCTGCTGTTCAGCTGTTTGTTTCTGGCCTCTCTCTTGGCTGCTATTCAGCTGTTTTTTTCCGCCCTTTCTGTCGGCTTCTATCCAGCTGTTTGTTTCTGGCCTCTCTGTCGGCTGCTGTTCAGCTGTTTGTTTCTGACTTCTCCATCGGCTGCTGTTCAGCTGTTTGTTTCTGGCCTCTCTGTCGGCTGCTGTTCAGCTGTTTGTTTCTGACTTCTCCATCGGCTGCTCTTCAGCTGTTGTTTCCAGCCTCTCTGTCCACTGCTTGCTACTGCTTGTTTCCAGCCTCTCTGTCGGCTGCTGTTCAGCTGTTTGTTTCCGGCCTCGGATGTATTCTCCTGTCTGCACCGTAAAGGAGCAGTTCAGACTTAGAAAGAGCCGGAACGATTAATATTTATTGTAAAAATCACTTTAAATGAAACAGAGTTTGATTTGTACCAGACGGAGCTGACAAAGAACAAACAAACCAACAAACAAGAAGCCATGAAAGAAATAAACAAATGTCACCCGTGTTAGATAAATCAAAGTTACAAAAATAGAGCTGAGGCAGGAGATGGTTGCAGTTCCCATTGTTACCACTAGATGCCCCTACATAGCCCAGATTTATACTTTAAAAGCTGTTTTGTCGTTTTACCGTTAACTCCTTCCACTGGTTGTAGCAGCAAAAATCAATTCATGTACTTGATACTTTCATAAGGGGGAGTGGTGGCGCAGAGGTTGGACAAGGTGAACATGATTGACCCCGACTGAAGCAGCAGAAATCGGGGTGGGAAAGGTGAAACACCCACACCCGTCTCCACCCTTGATTGCCTCACTCTGGCCCCATGAGCAAGGCCCTTAAAACCCTCCATCTGCTCCACACAGAGGGCTGTGGTAGCTCGGTAGTCCGTGGTTGCGTCAAGAAGAGCGTGCGGTGTAAAACCATTGCCAAGTCTTTGAGCGAGTTTGCTCGCTGTGGCGACCCCTGAGGAAGGTAGCAGCTGAAAGAAGAAAAATATGTAAAATATGTATAGATGTACATTTATAAACATTTCAAAGTCTGAAAAACTTCAGCGACAATGACAAAAGACTTTGTTTCATTCCATCAGTGTGGAGTGTGGAGCTACTGTTCCCAAAGGAAGGGTCAGGGCCCCTCGCAGGGTCATGGAGCCAGCGTGTTCAGTCGTGAGAAGATCTCCAGAAACTCAAGTTAACTTTCAAATGATTGCCAACTGGATATTTGGCCTTGACTGTTGCAAAGAGATAAAAATTGTTAAATAATGGTGGTCAAAGTTTTTGTTGAATGGATTATTGGTGATGTCTGTAAACTTCAACCAGCAGTAGTCGGGCTTCAAGTCTTTGCTCATTTTTGTCACTCAGTGGCCAAAGTATCACTAGTGAAGAAGATCTTTAGACTGAAACAGGATTTTTTTACATTAATCCCTGAAAGCTTGTTGATCTGGGCCCAATCCTGTTAAAAGTTTTCCAATTTCCACGTGAGCGAAGCGGCTTATTTTAGCCTCCGTGAGCGTTTGCTCGCCTCGCTCCGTATGAACTTGTTGTTTTTCTAAGATGTAACACAAGAAGGCTCTGCACCCAGCCGCCCCGCAGCCTTTGTTGAGAATAACTGACGCATTCAGGAGCTCAGTAATTATTTTGGGCGATGGCGACCGAAGGAGCGGAGGGACGACGGGATTCTTGGCGCAGGCGACGTGTCAACCTCTGTTTAGCAGCTCCGATACAATACGTATCTGTCCCCGCTCCATCAGCCTGTTCTGTTTAAAGAACCCGCCCCCCCCCAAGCAGCCTGTTTATCTTCCCCCACCCCTCCCCTCGCCTCTCACCACACACAGAGGACAATTAGGCTAATTGAACTTAATTGAACACATCATTAGCGACATTCCTCAATCCACTTTCATCCGCCTGCTGCTCCCTGTAACCTCAGCATACCCCTTGGTGCTCAGGCCGGCAGAATAAACCCGTCTTTGTTGGGTCTATTCTGGCAGCGCCGCGACCAGCTCGGGGTCACTTCACCGACCTCTGACAAGCGAGAGGAAACTGAATCAAAGCAGCTGATAGGAAGACGAGAACATCTGTCTGAAGAGAAAATAAACTACAATTAGCATGTTCCGCGCTCTGTTTTCCTTTCCCTGCCTCCATCTGTCTCCAAACTCTGCTCCTGCTTTGATCCTCCTCTTGTTCTTGGCAGGAACTCCTTTTATTCATCTTCCCTTCTGTTTATTCTGTGTTCCTGTCATGTTTTCTCTCACAATTTGTCATCTGCTTCTTCTCTCCACGTTTTTTCTTCCTCCCAGCTCGTGCGCCACTTGACGTGGCTTCTTAGTGAGGTTCTGTTTTGAGGTGTTGCTCGTTTGAATCTCTGGGACGGCTCTCTTCACGGGTCGTCCCACCACCTCGTTTGGCTTGATTCTGATGCGTGACCGGCTGCCAGAGATGCTCCACGTCTGGAGAGATGAGTCACGAGATAGTAAACAGCTACAGACTGAGTGCAGACCTGCTGCACACAGACGCGCTCCCACCGGCTGGAGGAGATAGTGAATGCTGGAGGTCCTGAGGGGGGCGGGGCCAGGACAAAGGTGGACCCATTAGTCCTCCGCTGGGAATGGTTCCTAAAGATATGCCATTTAGTCCCAATGGTACCAGAGAGGCAGATGGCTCCACCTGCTCACCGACCTTCGTCCAATACAACCAGCTGCTGTGTCAGAACCACATCAGCTACTCGTTATCTGTCTCACTACTGATCACCTGCTGCTCGTTACCTCACTTATTACATCCTGATGTTTCTGCTGCTTCCTGGGTTCTGTCCTCAACCATTTTGGGTTTTACACATTTCTCTTTTTATGTTTCTTCTGTAGGTTTATGTAGACCAGCTTTAGTTCTTTACCTGTCTCTGGTCTTTAACTGTCTCTGGTCTTACCTGTCTCTGGTCTTACCTGTCTCTGGTCTCA